TTCCCTATTCTGCATATGTTAAGTGGAGTATAAAGGCATTGTGAGCTACTGAGTGATATCTGAAACACTTCTGCATCCCTAGATGTGTCTGTGTGTTTCTTGTTCTTCGTGAAAAAAATTAACCAGGCATATACTAAAAGTAGATGTGGTATAGCTACTCAGGTCTTGCATCATGCTTACGAGTGTGCTGGTTAGAGCCGAACTCTGGAGAGCCAAGCGATACTTTGAAGGTTGTTTTTGATTCAGCCTGTTTGAGTACATGAGAAGCAAAACTGCCGTAACAGAGCATCATTAGCACAGGACTGCATAGGAGTTGACTCATACGGTGACCATAGGAATAGTTGGACATTAATGCAGGAGGTGTTAGGGGAGCAAGAACACTGTGGCTAGAAGTGATTCTGGGGTACTCTGGCCAAAAATGGTGCTGGGCATAACATGCTGGATCATTCTGACACAGTGTTCACTCTGTTTCTAGCAGGTGACAGGAATCAAGGCGTCTCCTGTTTTCACATCCCAGTTCATTGGTGGTGATAATCAGACGTCACATACATCCTTTTGGTGGGTGTGCACCCACCATCGTGAATGATAGATGTGTAACTAACTCAGTTGTTTTCCATGAGCTATTTGCCAATCCTGTGCTAGCCTTTTCCAGTCTGTGCCACCTAGGAGGTCCTCCTTTCCTTTCACGTGGATGCTGCCGTTGTCACTGTGCTTTTGTCCGTTCAGGACAAAGTTGCTTTTTTGTCACTTTAGGACAAAGTTGCGCCCTGAAATCTCACAGAGACCAAAGCCATCGGGTTCTTAGTGGGCAGGTGTTGCTGCGGCAAAGAGGTAAAAGCTGTGCACTGAGCTATTTGCCTGATGGCCCACGGTGTTCAGGGCATTCCTCACTACCTAGAAGGCTTTAGATGATCTTGGCCTGGGCTTGCTTTCCTTCTCTTGAGAGCTGGCCACAGCTGAAGTCAGTGGAGGGTTTGGTCCCCACTGTGCTGTGAAGGGAAGGTGCTCTCTGCAGTGGCCTTCGACGTGCTCCTTGCTGGGGTGTAAAATAGCCTGTCGGTTGTGGCCAGGGCACAGGACACGGGACTCGTCCCCTAGAGGTGTTGGAGATGGTGGAGGTCCTGTTCCACATGACTTTGGAGGGCAGTTTCTGGGGGTTTCTGGCTGGCTTATTAATGCGATATCCAGAAATTGGGCCTTGGCTTCTGATGAAAGTACTCGGAGATAGACTCTAGCAAGAAACAAAGATGGTTTCAAGCACCTCTGGTGGAAGTGCTTGGCTAAGGTCATCTAGACTTTAAAAATGAAGATCAATGTAACCAAACACTGGCATTCATGTGTCATCTGTGAGATGAAAGGTTTGCTCACAGGCTGTGAGCTATAAGAGGAGCAGTGATGCTTTTGTGAGAATTTAAAAAATGTTTCAGTCAGTGCCACAGCAAGGAATTGTCCAAGGGCTGTAGCTAGAGAGACCGTGCCACCAACATGTAGAATTGCCTCCCACACTTTCAAAATGGAAAGAAAACAAAATCAACTAGAATCTTTTTATTCCAGTACTGAGGGAGGCTTTTTCTTGTTTGCCTTTAAACTATATGATTTTACTTAAAAATACAGATAAATTTATCTTCAGTTTTACCTTTTGGTTTGAAAGCTGGTGTGGTCCTGTGCACGGTTAATGACTTGGGAAGATCATGAAGAAAAGAAAGAGCAAGTGTGAAACCAGCACTTTTGAAAGCCATTTTATATATGTTGGATTCACACTACTGAGGTAATGCAGAGCCAGCATTGCCTGCGTCTGGGCTTGATAGAGATTCCTAAAATGGAGAAATAACCCACAGTAATGTTTCTAGCCACCCTGTTCAATTTTCTCATGGGTCCCACAAAACTCAGTTTGGAAGTTCTGTAGAATTCTAGAAATGTGATGATTCTTCCAACTGTTGTGCTGCATTTAGAATAAATTACGTCTTTGCTTTTTATCATCTCCCAACAGGCAGTCAGCTGTGCAGTTTGGGTTTTCACTTTCCAAACAAGTTAGTACTTAAATTCTCCTCTCCCTTTCCCCAGCATTTTCTGGCTCCAGAGATTTTGGAATCCACATTACCACGTAAATGCTACTAAAGCCATGTCATCTGCCTTTCCTGAACACGCAGGTATTCAGGAGTAGAATTATCAACGTTTCTTTTTTTTTCACTTTAAGCTTTTTAAGTCCACAAGTAAATATAGTGATCTGATTTGCCAGCAGCAAGTATTCATGTAACTTGATCAGATCTCAGGATCTTTGAGAAGAACCACATGCCATTTAGCCTCTTTCTATGCAGAGGAATTTGGACAATTCATCATTATACTGAGGGCCTTATTAGTTGACAGAAGGGTTAACTGACCTTCAAACAGGAACTTGACAGTTTGCCTGCAGGGAACATATTCCATGGTGAGTTGACTACTTAAGCACTTTCGATGTAAAGTAAAAACAATCTCTTGTGTCAGGGTATAATTCAAAGAACAAAGGACCCTTTTGCTCAATTGTGCAGGCAGCAGAAGTTATTTTTGTCTCTTGCCTATCATATTCACATTGTACAAGAAAGTCGTTTTGTTGAGGAGCGATTTGTTCTGCTGAGGCTCTCTGTGTAATTTTTGAATTGAAGACCACCACTGTGTTTTGGCATTGAAGCAAACAATGTACAATCTTGAAAACGGCTTTGTGTTTTGCCCTTTTTTTCAAGGGGGCATGTGCTTGGGGTGTGTGAATTGATTTATGGCCCTTTTTGAGCCATTAACCTCCTTCAAGGATGCCTGGTAAATGGATGTGTAAGTGAAGGCTTTTATCAGGCATCACAGTCCTTTTCTTGTTCAAGGAACGTGCGTTTGACCTGCTTAGGGTGTACTCTGCCAGGATGGTAGGTAGATAACCTGCATACTTTCAAGGCCTCTCTTTTTGTTCTTTGCTGCCAATCCTTTATTAAAAGCTTTGCAGGTTGGTAATTTTCACCGCTGCCTGCATAATTAAGGAGGAGGAGAGGTCCAGTGGCAGCCAGGCTGCATAGAACCGCTGCTGATGATAGCGTTCAGACACACGGTGTGTCTGTGCTTTTAGAAATGGCCGTGCATCGGTAAGTTAATTAAGTAACTTCTCTTCATGGCGGGTTAGTGCCAAAGTGCATCCTTATTCAAAAAGCTTGTTAAAAAAGGGTGTTGGCCAAACCTTATCGCTCCAGTTTGGCAACCACCTGGAGCCACTGGGTCTTACCTGACTAGCATATAAAGATAGGTAGGTATTCACAGTTACAAAAATAAAATAAGAATGAAACTCCATTTCAGGAAGGTGTGAATACTAACTCCTGAGTTGGTGCTCAAAGTGTGAAATAATTTATTAAAAAAAAATAATAAAATCTGTTAATTGTCCTCATTCCCACTTGAGGGTGACGGACACTGTATAGGCTCTTGGTCACTAGCACCTGTGTTGGAGAAAGACTTCTCTCTTCTCCTCGAGGTGGGGCTGCCCATGACCACATTCTTGTTCTAAGCTGCCTGATTTTTTCCCCATTTTCTGTCAGCCCAGTGCCAGGCTCCTGATGCGTGTTTTTAATGTTTTCCCACTATCCGTGGCAGGAGCACATCCTGAGCCAGGCCCTGTACGTCTGCATAGAAGATCTCTCAAGGGCTGTTACTCCATAAATTTGTCATGTTCTTCTTTGAAGCCACCTCAGCTTTTAGCACCCACAGGTGCTTTAGTGGTAGGGAGCTCCACCAACTAAAAGTGCTGTGTAATCAGCTATCTCCTTTTATTGTGCAGTTTGGGGGGGGTGCAGGGGAAGGTGGTTGGTTTTTGATCTGCTGGATTCTTCAGTTGACCCCCACTCCTGTGCTGGAGGAGACAGTAAATGGTTGTTCCTTGTTCACTTTTCCCATTTCACTGATGTGTTACTCTTAAACCCTCTGCTATGTGCCCGCCTGTTCTTTCTTTTCCTGTCTGGAAAGCCTTGCTCTACTTTTAGTCCTCATTGTAGGAGTGAAACTGGGATCTTTGTCTTCAGTTGCTATCCAATTGACATCCAAACATTGCAAGAGGAAGTGTCCATCCTTGCTCCATTATTTTCCCTGTTTCTGAGATGTGCAAATCCTGGTCTGGCTTGGAGTTATTTCCCTATCTTTCTCCCCTTTCACACTCTGCTCTGGTTCCCCCATACCCAAGCAGACACATCCATAATCAGCTTTTTATAATCCAGACACAGACCACTTCTATACTCATTTCACCACTTCATAACAACTGATTTATTTTTTTTTTTCCTCTGTGCCAACATCACTGTCATTTCCCTCACCTTAGCCTTCACATGTGCCTTTTTCTCCGTCCAGCGTGTGATTGCAACCCTCATGGCATCCAGACCCCGCAGTGCGACCGTGCCACTGGGCAGTGCATCTGCAACGAAGGGGTGGAAGGGCCGCGCTGCGACAGGTGCTCCCGGGGCTACTCAGGCTTCTTCCCTGACTGCGTGCCGTGCCACCAGTGCTTCGCCCTCTGGGACGTGATCATCAGCGAGCTGGCTAATAGGACCCAGCAGTTCCTGGATAGGGCTAATGCCCTCAAAATCACTGGAGTCACTGGCCCATACCAGCAGACACTCAACACCCTGGAGGAGAAGCTCAGTGAAATTAAAACCATCATTGCTCAAAATCCAGCTGCCGAGCCCCTGAAGAACATTGGGAATCTCTTCGAGGAAGCAGAGTGAGTATGGTTGCAATTACGTGGATGAGTCTAGCGTGGGAAGGAGTAGGAGTGCCAGTGAGGTGGGATTTACTTGAGTGACTGATGTCCCCATGCTGGGCTGAGGACACCCCAGCTCCGCTCCTCCAGCTGGGCAAGACACGCTGCAGCTCCTAGCGCTGGTGGAGCACCTCACTGTGCCAGGCGCTGGCAGTGAGCATCCGTCCTCAAGCAGAACCTTGGCCAGGGAAGGCAGGAGCAGTGCAGCTGCCATGCTGTGGGCAGGGGTTGCTCCCACTGTGCACCAGGCAGCTAATTACCACGGAGCCACTCATGCTTGCCTTGCACTCCCCCCGGGGCAAAGGACAAACACTGCTATTATGTGAGAGAATGAAGAAGGGAGAGATTAAATTCCTGGATTTCCATGTGTAGCTGATGAGTTGGAAACTTGGGCTCCTTTCTGCACGCTGAGCGTGGATGGGGGTGAGCACCAGCTTTATAACAGGGATTGTTTCCATTTTTCCCGGGGTAGGAGCCTTGTACTTTGTTTTAGGGCTAAGCATACAAAAGATGGTAGTTTGTGCTTTTGCAGATGGGGCAGTTTAACATCGAGTAGGATTACAGATGCTTTCTAGCCCTGTGCGTGTGCAAGTGCTCAAACTTGCTCGTGCATTGTAAAGGGGACTGCACAAAGCAAAGGGGCGAGGATTAAAGCACAAATGTCTCAATTAGGGATGCGCTTGTGTCCTGCAGCTCCCTCCCTCCAGCTGGAGAGCTGGGGGTTGCTGCTGCATTTAGGCTCTGTGTGTACTGAGGGAGGTCAGAGCAGCTGAGGAGCTGCTTTTCCGTAACATACATATAGACGTATCTGTTCTTGCTCCTCTCTGGCTGTATAGAAGTACTGGAGGACTCCTGGAAAACAGCAAGCAGTTGGGCTATTTAGAGAGCTGTAAATTGATCATAGAGCTTAAATACTGCCTGATTCTTTCAGAATGAGGAAACGCTGGGTTTGGTGGGATCACCAGGGATGGGAATAGCTTCCTATGCCCACTTGGGTTCTGCAGCAGCATTGACATGTAACATAGACTTGCTTTTCCTTTTAGGGTTATCCCACTTGCTAAAGCCTGCTCCATGGCTTGCTGGGGCCATGCCGAATGCTGAGGGTGGGAGGTTTTCCTTCATAGCCCTAGAGAAACGGCTGGTGAGGAGGGATCTTTACAGACAAGCTAAAAGAATCCATTGTGTTAAAACTAAGGTTTCCCCCCCACCCCACTTCCTGAAGTTCAAATCTGTCCCATGAGCTCGTAGTAATCAAAACTGCATTTGTAGCTGTGTGGGATGGGAAGCAAATTATGTATGGATCATAGTAGTCAACTCTGACCTATGCAGTTGCCATGATACAAGAGCATTACACCAGTCCTCTGGAATCTGCCTCCAGTTAATCTTACACAAAGCAGCTGTTTTCTGAGCAATTTGGTGCTTTATAAACGTGCTGTAGATTAAAAAGTAGTTTTGTATCATAAAAGAAACAAAACGGTATTCTAGGTAGGCATGTTGTTACAAATCACTTACAGCTCCACCGAGGGAGGACAGGTCCTGCCGTGAGAGAGGCTCGGCACAGTTCTAACCACCCTCTTCAGTGAAGTGAAGCACCAAGGCTTACAACCCTTCCTCCTCCGCCTGTTGAGTCCTGTGCCTCGTTTTTACAGAAAGCTGACAGCAGATGTTACAGTTAAGATAGCTGACATAGAAGACAACCTGTCAGCCTTAGCAGTGAAGAGCAATAGCACAGACACTGACCTGAGCGCACTGGAGACAGATGCCAAAAGCCTAGACCGTGTCGTGAAAGAACTTGCAGAACAGCTAGAGTTCATCAAGATCTCTGATGTTCGGGGTAAGTGTCACAGGGAGGGGGAGAAAGCAGTGGGGTGGCCAAAGATTTAATTAGTGCATGGTTTTAAATACCAGGTTAATCTTCTAACTTGTAATAAAACACAGTTCCTTGGAGGGCGGCTTCTTTCGGTGCATTAGCAGAGTTGCTGATGCAGCAAGAATTTTGTTTTGTCCGCTCTGTCTCCCTCTGCACATTGCAAAGCTGGCTCAAGTTCTTGGGGCACAGAATTGTCTTAAAGTTTCTTTATTAACACATTTTAGATGTCCCTCACACCCGCTTAAGGCCTCTCCAGGAGTTGTCCAAAACTAAGTTCCATAAATCAGCATCTTTCGTCATGCAGTTGTTTCTTGGGAAAGCTCTGACCAGTTTCCAAGCAGTGACTCTATAAGCCAGGTATCCCAGGGCAAGCAGTAACAACTAATGGGATAAGTGAATCCTTAGAAAACTGACTATAAACCTAAAAGGCTGGATCTCCTTTTGCCCTCAGGGCAAGCAGAATTCAGTCACTAGGGTCAGAGAAAGGCTTAACTTCAAAACCCAGCAAACTTGACACACTGTCAACCAAGGAAAATAACTTTTTTTTTTCTTTCCCCACAACAGGCCAAATTCTGTCATCCTTGCAATGGCACTGAATACTAGCATTTCATTTAATTTGATATTCATATCACTGACCCTAATGTCTCATCTGTCAGCCTCCATAATATACATTACTTTGGGTTTCTTAACAGATTTCTGAGCAGCTTTATCTGATTTTTGCAGGAGCCTTGGATAGTATCACCAAGTATTTCCATATGTCCCTGGAGGCAGAGGTGAGGGTCAATGCCTCCACTGTTTACCCCGATAGCGCCGTGGAGCTGTCAGCGCAAACGCGGCAGGAAGTGGAAGACTTAATCAATGAGAAGGAGGCCCAGTTCAAGGCTAAACAAGAGGAGCAGTCGCGCCTTCTGGATGAACTTGCAGGCAAGCTGCAGAGCCTGGATCTTTCCGAAGTGGCTGAGAAGGTACGTGGCTGAGAAGCGCTCGTATAAAACCTGTAGCAAAAATAAAGTTGGGTTTGCGAAGAAGCGATGGGTGGGGAGGAACTGTTTAGGGCTTGACTGTGCAAGATATGCAGTTTGTTCGTGAAAAACGCACGTTTCTTGGATGACAGGGTATTTTGTGGGCTGGAAGAGGGCTGTTTAAGGGGTGGGCTCTGAGACCTACTGGCTTTCAGGCACCAGCCCTTTGTGTTGGTCTCCCTCCTACCCTTCCCAGCCCCAAGAGAGCATCCAGCCATCTAAAATTTTTCATCACTCCTGCCCTACTCAAAGCCCTTTGCTGTGGACAGAGCTCCCACATGCAGAAAAGTGTAGCGAGTCTGCTGGACTGAGCGCCATCCTCTTAAGCCTGTCCTCAATTTATGTGCTTGCTTTCTGTAGGTGCCTCTTCTTTTTTTTGCACCTCTGCAGGGTACAGGCTATGCCTGCGCAGCACACAGCCCGGCAGCGCTTCTACTCGCACCAAGGGGCCACCCTCCTTGGCATCACCGTGCTCCCATCCTCGTGCTTGAGACAAAGCTGAATTTGCAGGGAGCTGGAGTCAAAAGAGTATTTTCTCTGTTGAAGCTGCCTGCTCATCTGTAAATATGATCAAGGGTTGCTTTTTCTTGGGAGAGGCTGGATGTTCCCTCAGTTTCACTTTGAAGTCGGCCAGCTGCCGTCAGAGAACAACCCTGCATGAAGGCAGGCTGCAGGGGACCGCTCATTAACTCCCAGGGCCAGGCCAGACCTCTTTTAAGAGGATGAGTTCTTTACATGCTGAATTGTTCCCTGTCCTTTATAACTACTGTCCTCCTTCCCGGCTCCCCCAGTCCTCCTTTTTTCTCTGGAGGGAAGAAAGAGACATCTTTTTTGTTTAGCTTCCCTTCCCCTACATTCCTGCCTAACTGTTCTTGAGGACTGAAAATCTTGGGTAGATGTTTATCAAGGCCATAAACACTTGAGTTGCCTGGAGGTATAATCACAGGGCCACACAAAAAAAAACCCAAAACACCACCTTTTTTTTTGCTTTCTAGCTACTGCTGGGTTGCATGCCAAACAGGTAAGAGGGACTCATTTACACTTCACAGGAGACAGCTGCAGCTAACTTGGCACAGCCCCTAGGTTTTCCCAGGGAGGTTTTTTTGGCTGCAAAGTATGCGGGTTAGTGACTGTCCTTTGGCAAAAGTCGGGAGTGGTGGAAAGGCAAAAGAACCTCACGAGAATGGAGGATGTTCCAATTTTCCCTCTGGCTAAAACAACTCCCGAGTGATTTCATTGTCAAACAATTGACTAAATAGTGGATAATTCTCAGTACAATGTTGTTGATAGAAGTAGTTTTGCTTTTTAAGAAAAAAAAAGTCTACCCTGAAATTTTCTATGGGAACACATTCTTGACAATAATTCACAAATTGAAAGATGAAATCAGAGCAAACATTTGGTGAAAGGCAATGGGACAACTTTTTAAGGGGCATGAAAAAAAGTTTCCTGTTCAACTTGGAGCATTTCAGCTTCTATTTCATTTCTAGAGCATTAGAGCAAAGGAAAAGATACTACTCTGCATCAAAGACTCTCTTCCTTATGAAATAGCTTCTTGGGATGGCCAGTTTTTCCTCCAACAGTAGTGAAGACTGATTGCAGTAGCTTCCAGCTTGAAACCAAAGCTTAAAGGCAGCCTTCCAGTGAAAGATGACGTACAGGAAAAGTAGATGATGAAGGCACAGCAAGGATTCCCTCATAACCACCAGCTACTTCAGCATCAGGGAGCTGCTTATTTGTAACCAAGTTAAAGGCAGGAAGGTGCGAGGGGGCACAGAAGAAAGATTAAAGTCATGCTGGTATGGCCCTGCTGCAGGAACCACCTCCAGCTTGTGGCTCCCTCTGCTTCAGCTTCCTTCCCTGTGGTGCTTGGGATGCTACTGCATGGGACAGAAACAACATCGTATTTCTGTCGTGGCAGAGCAGAGTCCTGCTCCATCCCCCTCGCAGCTCAGCAATGGAAATAAAGCTGTGACTGCTTCCCTTGTCTCATGTGTCTCTGCAGACCTGTGGCACTCCTGTGGGAGCCTCTTGTGCCGACTCTGAGTGTGGCGGTTTAAACTGTCGAACAGACGAAGGAATGAAGAAGTGTGGAGGACCTGGCTGTGACGGGCTGGTGACCGTAGCTCACAACGCCTGGCAGAAAGCCATGGATTTTGACAGAGACATCCTCAGTGCATTAGCAGAAGTTGAGCAACTCTCCAGAATGGTAATATGCCAAATTAATTGTTAGATAGTTAAAAAAAAACAAAACACACAAACCAACTTTCAGTTGTAACACAAGTTGAGACACTAATTGACAAAGTATGTGCCTGCCTTACTTCAAAATACTTTTCAGTTGCGTAACTTCATCATGCTTGTAAAGATCCGAGCTTGCTAAAATGAAGCTGCATGGATAACTCTAAACATTAGCCTGAGTTGTTTAAACTAGCATTGGTGGTATGGATCCTGGCCAGCTTTTAAAAGTGTTCTGTGAGTTTTATGAGAAAAAGCATTTCTCATTACTATTACCTCTGACTCCAACTGAATTTTTGTTTTAAAACAGGCCTTAAAGCATAAGCAAATATGCAATCAAGCCTTCCATTTTCCTCTCTTTAGGTTTCTGAGGCGAAACAGAGAGCTGATGAAGCAAAACAAAATGCACAAGCAGTTTTGCTCAAAACCAATGCTACAAAAGAACAAGTGGATAGAAGCAACGAAGATCTGAGAAATCTTATTAAACAGATTCGAGACTTCCTAATGCGTAAAAACCTTGTATTTAAATTATATTTTAATTCTGGGTTTGTGAACTATCTTTAGCTCTAATCATCCTCTGAGGGGTAATGCAATAGTTTTGTCTCCTTCCCCCCTGCCTTTCAGCCAGACTTGGTGTGTATGATGAAATCTGGAAACAAGAGAAACCCAAGACAATAGGAAAGTGAGAGCAAACCGTGGCATGTTCTTGTGGTCATTTCAGCTGAGGCTGTTGTACTGCTGTAGTTTGCCAAGTGTGTTCATAGGTTCTGGCTAGAAAGACAAAGTACTATTAAAGGGGAGGGAAGTCAGAAACCATGAGTTTCTCTCTCTGTAAGAAAGCAGGTAAAGGTTAAGTGAGGGCCCCATTCGCTAGCAAGCAGCAGCACGGCAAACCGATTCCTTCCTTGTTTGCACAAGGCTGAGCGTGCCGTTAGCACAAATACATTTACATGCAGCTGTTGGCTTCGTTTCCTGTGGGCTTGCGTCTCCCCCCGCCCCAGCCCCAGCGCTGTGTAACCAATCACCCAGATCTTCAAATGGCTTCCAAGAGAGCTATGCCAGCAGAGCCTACGCGCCTGCTAGGCCTCTCCTGAGAGGGAAGTTTCACCCTAAGGAAGCAGTTTGAACACCTTGATTTTCCGTGAGTCTGGGGGAAGAAGTTTTCCCATTATTTTCCATCTTAAGGGAGGACAGGAATTTGAGTACTGAGACTTAAAAGGAGGCTTTTACTCACATCTTTGTCATTTCTGTCCATCTGCTAGAAGACAGCGCTGACCTGGATAGCATCGAGGCAGTGGCTAATGAAGTGCTGAACATGGAGATGCCAAGCACGCCCCAGCAGCTGCAAGCCCTGACAGAAGATATTCGTGAGCGTGTAGAAAGCCTTTCCGATGTTGAAGTCATTCTGCAGCAGAGCGCTGGAGACATTGCCAGAGCAGAAATGCTACTGGAGGAAGCTAAAAAAGCAAGGTATGTAAACCTGTTCGCCAAGAGCTTGAACAAGACTTTCATTTCATTGTATCAGAAAATGCAGAGTTTAACTTCCCCTGATGTAGATTCTCATTCCTTCACTAAGGGGCAAAAATGGCCCTTTGCAGTGTACAACTAGTTCTTTTTCCAGTTCCAAAGTAAAAGCATTTTTAGTGTTAACGTAGTTTCGCTCTACAGCAAAGGTGCAACAGATGTTAAAGTCACTGCAGACATGGTGAAAGCAGCACTGGAAGAAGCTGAAAAAGCACAAAATGCAGCTGAAAAAGCCATCAAACAAGCTGATGAAGATATTAAAGGAACTCAAGACCTGCTGACCTCAGTGAGTTCTTTAGGAGTATTTCTTAAGATACAGAAACAGCACCAAATCTGATACTTAGAAACTGATGTGACCCTGTCTAGGGAAGGCCCTCAGGTACTGCAAATCAAAGACTGCACTTAAAATGAATCTAAACCATTCCTATCTTCACAACAACTTTTGACTTAGTATTACAGCTGCCAGGGGACCATTTGCTCTTAAAAAAAACAAGCAAACAAAAAAAACCCCCCAC